TCTGGTCCTCTGGTTTTTGGGTCTGGACCTGTGGCTTTGGCCGCTATACCTCTATCACTGCATCTGAATTTTTGTCGCTGTCTTTATCGCTGCATGAACCACGACGGGTGGCGACGTGCTCATGATACTGAGATACTGATGCTCAAGATGCTCTTTAGCCGGGGGCCCCCCCCCCATGATTTCAGAAGCCGGCATAAAAGGCTGCGGTTTAGGGTCGGGTTAAGGGTTCGAAAAAAACATAGTGTCAGTAGGTAAAACGTGCTAGAGAATGGTTCGGTGTGTGTGTGTGTGCATGATAAGGTTGTTTATTGAACCTGAGGGTTTGCTTTGTAACTTGATATCATGTCCTGTTTGGGGGATATCAATTGGCATGCCTCAAGCTAAGCTAAGATGCATAACATCGTTCCAACGATATATGTATAATATGTCATATCTTATCTTTGGTGTTAGAAACGACATTCAATACAAGCTAAGATGCCCAACATCGTTCAAACGATGTATCTCATATCTTTTCTTAACTTTGGTGTTAGAAATGATATGCAATACAAGCTAAGATGCCCAACATCGTTCAAGCAACGTATCTCATATCTTTCTATTGGTGTTAGAAATGATATGCAATACAAGCTAAGATGCCCAGCTGTTCAAACGATGTATCTCATATCTTCTCTTTGGTGTTAGGAATGATATGCAAAACAAGCTAAGAGGGTCTCTGAAGCCTGTATGATTAGGGTCTTGGGCCTTGGGTTCCCAAGTACTAACACAGGGTCTAACCCCTCGCCCAGCATACATCCTGCAGCAGCAGCAGCAGCAGCAGCAGCAGCAGCAGCAGTGGCAACAGCATTGGCGAGTTCAGCTTCTTCATTTTGGAGGACCGCGGCTGTGGGTCGCGAGGGTGTCAAAACTGACGACTTAGTCGGTCGCAAAAGTCAGGTTCCAGCATCATGGCTTCAACTGTGCTCCATCCATCATACAAGACCCGTCTTCAGCGAATTATTCGATCGGTCTTGCAACTTTATAAAGACCCCTAAAGAAGGACCGAAGACTCTTTGGAGCGCTAGGGTAGTATGAGACCCGTACTTTGTAGTATGGTGTCGGAGCAGCAGGAGCCTTTGAGCGAGGAATCTCTGCCACAAGGAATCGGCATCAAACTGTGCTCCATACAAAACCCGTCTTCAGTAAAATATTCGAACGGTCTAGGAACTATAAGGAACCCTACATAAGGACCGAAGACCCTTGAAGGAGGCTAGCCTAGCTACTTTGGAGTATCCTGTAGGAGCATCAGGAGCCCTAGACCTTGCAGTCACAGCAAGCGCAGCACTTGCTGCTTTTGCATCTCCACAACATTCTTCATGAAGTAGAGTGGCTTCTTCGGCGAGATCTCCTGGGGCAGTGGGATGTGGGCTTGGGCTTGGGAGGGGCCTGGCTAGTTCTAGGGTTTCGTTTATGGAGGGCTTAGGGGTCGGGTTGCTATCATTTGTCAGCATACGTCCTGTTCATCAGCATTAAAGGAAACTCGCCAAACCATCCGCAAACTCTCGCTCTGGGTGAGCGTGCGATTGTCAAAGAAGCTGGCTGCATTCGTGAACTTGACGTTCTGGCCATTGTTCTTCGTGAATTTGAAGACGAGTGGGGGTACCTCACTCGAGGGCCCGATGACAAAGACCTTTTCATCGTCGCCTCCTTGCAGGGGTCCAGATATTATTATTGGTGGTTTAGGGTTCAGGGTTTTAGGCTTTAGGGTTTAAGGTTAAGTTAGCAAGAGCCCCGAGCTATTGACCATGCACGGAGTCCTTCATCGCACCTTTCCATGTCATGGCTGTTGAGTGTCAAATCCACGACTCCATTGGTCTCCATCTCTTCGATCAAGAGCCTGGTGACATCGAAACCCCAATGCAGCCGAGCACAAACAGCATTTTAATAAACAATGTGTAGTTGAACCTCATGTTCCTAAACCCAAGCCAAGAAACCTCATAATCGAAATGTCAGCATCCTTCAATCGGCGGCCCTCTGTCGTCTCGAAAACGACAGGATCCGCGTCCGACGTCCATTGGCAAACGAGGTTCGTGGGCTCCTTCATGGGGCCTGCCAGGTAAAGGTTTAGGGTGCGGGGTGTTCGGTCTAGGTGTTCCTTGGCTGGGTTGGGTTTAGGGTGTAGGGGTTTAGGGTGTGGGGTGTTCGGTCTAGGTTTTCCTTGGCTGGGTTGGGTTTAGGGTGTAAGGTTTAGGGTGTCGGGGTTTAGGGTGTGGGGTGTGCGGTCTAGGTTTTCCTTGGCTGGGTTGGGTTTAGGGTGTAAAGTCTAGGGTGTAGGGGTTTAGGGTGTGGGGTGTTCGGTCTAGGTTTTCCTTGGGTTCTGGGTTTGCAAACAAAAGGATTCCTCATCGGGCCTGCCAGCGTGGCTGGGTTGGGTTTAGGGTGTTAGGTTTAGGGTGTGGGGGTTTAGGGTGTGGGGTGTTCGGTCTAGGTTTTCCTTGGCTGGTTTGGGTTTAGGGTGTAAGGTCTAGGGTGTAGGGGTTTAGGGTGTGGGGTGTTCGGTCTAGGTTTTCCTTGTTTTCTGGCTTTGCAAACAAAAGGATACTCTGTCTGATCACGGATTTACAAAGATCCAGAGACTGCTTTCCAGGGCCTTTCAGGGTTTCTACGGGGGCCTACAAGTGGTTCTTTTGTTGTGTAATTTTCACGATTGCTTAGATTAGTAGGGTATTGGGGTCAGGGGTTATTTTGATTTCAGGCTTGAAGCGTGTAGGGTCATAGGCCTCGACATACAAACCAAATTCGGGATCCAGGAGTACGATGAAGCCCACGAACGTCTATACAGCAATCCGAGCATTTTTTGGCCGCAGGCGCTCAAGATCATCCTGGAACACATGCCGGAGACTCGGAAGCTTCAGCACCCCCGGGCTGTGGCCGTTGATAAGCACTAGAATTGTCACCTAGTCTAAGTCTTAACATGCTGCGATATATGATCTGGTTTCATTTCGCTTAGATAGCTTCAAGGCGGGAATGCAGTTGATACCAATCTAGCAGCGTGGACTCCGATTCGGTGCACCACGGCAATCGTAAATACGGTCTCAGCCAACGTACTTGCCGACGGGATTCCTCAAGTATTGTAAAGGAAGACGAAGCAAACTGGCGAGCATCATTCGGTACCATAAAAGACCAGACCCCCCGTCCGAACTTGGATAATCGAAGAAGCCGATGAACAGGCAAGCAGGAAGACCTGAGCCCCAGCACATGTTCGGATTGTAACCCCGTAGCATCGGAACTTTGTGGAACCTAGTTGTTCCGGCAACCTAGCTGTTGCCCAAGGCACACACATTCACCCACACCACGGGAGCCCATCGTTGCTTCGGTTCGCATCACCCGGACCCTTACACCATAGACTTGGGCCTTTGTTGGAATGGGGCCACTCTTCGATGGATGCTCCCAGGGCATGGGCTGTGGCGCTTAAAATCTTAGCCCCATCTTCGCCTTTTCAGCTCTGCAGCCGACATTCCCCTCTGGGCATTCACTCGCAATGGATGGGTTTTCCACCTTAGTGCTAAGTAATCATATTACGGTTAATCATTGATAGCAAGAACCATTGCCGGCGTAGTACTAGTAGTAGTAGTAGTAGTAGCAGCAGCAGCAGCAGTAGTAGTAGTAGAAGAAGAAGTGGTGGTAGTGGTAGTGGTAGTGGTACTGGTAGTGGTAGTTCGTGTTGTTGTTGCTGTTGTTGTTGTTGATGATGTTGTTGTTGTTGCTGCTGTTGTTGTTGTTGATGATGATGATGTTGTTGTTGTTGCTCTGGTTGTGGTTGTGGTTGTGGTTGTGGTTGTTGTTGTTGTTGCTGGTCGCGGTACTGACTTGAACTTTGTAGTGGTGGTGGTGCCTAACCCCTCCTTAGGGTTAAAGCCCCAACTCACTATTCATTATCCTTAGGGTTAGGGCTCCAACTCATTATTCATTATAGATATGGGATGCTCGGGGTTTAGAGTTTAGGGTGCCTGGGTTTGGGTTGAAGACTTCTCCGTGTTAAAAAGCTTTCATGCTTTAACCCAGCAGTAACAACTGGGAGTGGCACATCTCGCTGGCTTCTTTCATGAGCTGGCTGAGCTTCTTGCCTTCGTTCTTGCGATCGCGAAAGTAGTCCTGCGAGAACTTCTTCCATCCTTCGGTGAGTGCCGTCTTCTTCTTGGGCTTCGGCTCAGCTGGCCTCTTGCCACTGGAGCCACTCGCCTCCCCGTCGATCTTATTCTTGCCCTGCTTCTTGCTATCGTTCTTCTTCGAGGTTGCCTTTGGGGTCGCCTTCTTCTTGGGTGCTGCCGTTTTCGGGCTTTGCTTCTTCCCGGGTGCTGCGGATTTCTTGCGGCCCCCCTCGTCTGCCGAACCAGCATCGGAATCCTCGTGGTTGTCTGCCGAACCAGCATCGGAACCCTCGTGGTTGTCTGCGGAACCAGCATCGGAATCCTCGTGCTCGTCTGCCGAACCAGCATTGGAATCCTCGTGGTCGTCTGCCTCCAAACCAGCCTTGGAACCCTCGGCCTTTGAGGAAGCCTTCGGGGCCGCCTTGGGTTTCCCTGCTAACTTGTTCCCCTTGGGCTTGGTCACCGAGGTGTTGACGGCTGCCTTCACGGCGGCGGCGATGCATCCAGGCTTGGGCTCCTGGGAAGGAAGCAGGGCGGGGATAGTGTTGGAGGTCAGGTTTTAACTTTATGTATTTCACACCAGCCACTTAGAACTGCTTGAATACCAATACAGTTGCAGGGCTGAAAGGGGTTAATTCTATTGTTGCGGGTCCTTCAAGAAAGTACTGTTTCTTCTACATCAGACTCATGATACGAGGAGTAGTAGCACTAGTAGTTGTGGTGGTAGTAGTAGTAGTAGTAGGTAGTAGTACTACTACGACTAATTGCACCAGTGGCAGCACTAATAAGTCGTTGCGGTGGTTGTGGCGAAGTCTTGGGTTATAATTTATAATTTATAATGTATGTCATGCTTTCGTCATGCACAACTTTATGGTAGTCGGGCTGTAGACGTGTAAAAGCTTGATACTCAGGATTACGCACGATGGCATGCATAAGAGCCAAAATACAAAGATGTCCAGGGCTATGTGCTGCTTGTAGCAAAGTTTAGTGCTCCAATGTGGGTTTTTGTTTTCAAGGTCTAGGCCAGTACTGCTTAGAGGTTGGAAAACAGGCTTTAGCAACACACGAACGGATATTGGGCAATCTCGCCTCCTTGGGCGCGTCAGTCTTGGCCGGGGTCTTCCGAGCACCCTTCTTGGGCTGGGCATCCTCTTTCGGAGCACCTTTCTTGGGCTTGGCATCCTCTTTGTGCAGCTTGAGTTCGGTCTCCAGCTTCTTGGACACCACATCAATCTCATGCTTCAACTTAGGATCGTCACATGTCTGTGTGGCCGGGGCTGGGCTCTCCTCAAGAGGCTTGGAACGAGGTGTTGTTTTCGTATCCGGGGTGAGGCCCATACTCGAATCCACAGTAGCCCCGCGTCTGTAGGGACCTCCCAAGACCTGAGTACTGGCGTCGGACACACACGATAGCTGCCTCCTCACCGGCGTTGGCGTGAGTGTTCTTGCCAGGTGTCCGGTGGACTTGGCGGATGAGGCCCCAACTTCGGAACCAGGATTCATTTGGGCTGCGGGCATGCTGCTGTGACTGTTCATGAGGAAGGTCATGAGGTCGGAGTCAAGGTCGCT